AATTGCGATGTAGGCTGCAACTCCGCCTCCTGGGCCTCTGACGTCATCACGCAGCGACAGGGTTGAGAAAGGTCCCCCATCACTTGCCGTCGCAGCACCGTTAGTGCGCTCGCGTACCCGCCGTCTACTAGCGCCTGAGCAGGACGCGCGCCCCGGAGCCAGGCGAACTCGGCTTGCGGCAGGCATCCGCTAGGGGCAGCCTGCTGCGCCTCCTCTCCCGAGTAGTTCGGTTTCCCCACGTGCTTCTGCTTTGCTGCTGGCTGGAATTCGCCGGGCTCCGGGCGCAGGTACTTATCACGGGATGGTTGGCGGTGGGTGCCGAAGTGGTTGTCAGTGTCCTTCTTGGGCCCGGGGGTGACTGGCTCGAGGACGAAGCCTCCGCATCCATGTTGATGCCCGGCCCACACCGACTGCCGCCTCAGTCTGGCGCTCCTAGATGGCAGGATTCTTTCCCCAATAGGCAGCCACTCGGGCGTGCTTCTCCATAACTCTCGGAGGTTGCATGGCTCCATTTCCACTCTCTAGGGACCTCTAGCTGAGGAGTCGGGTACGTGGGTGAGTGACAACACTTTTGCTTTTCGCGGAGCTTGCCTACAGTTCCTGGTTGTAGCGCTGGGGATTGAACTAAGGCCATCCGATTCCAGATCGTCCTACACTCTTAGCTACTTCACTATGCTCATTCATTTATACGCTTTATTCAACAGTCACGTTCAGAACTTTATTTACCAGTGCACCTAGAATGGTGCCTGGCACACAGATGCCATGTGTATTAGACGAATATATGAGTGAATGAAAAATATTTTTCCTCCTTCAAGGCCTTCTTCATCCGTTAAGCCTTCCGTGGCAACTCCAAGCCACGGTAATCTCAGAATTTCATCAGGCCACTAGCTGTAGCTATTATTTTTACATCTGTTTTTATCTGTCTTTACACAGATTGTCCCTCATCTCTTTCTCGTAAGTATCTTCTCCAAGGAGAATGAAAGCCCCTTGAAGTCAAGCTTTATGAGGTACTACTTCTGGGGCTCCCACAGTAACTAGGGCAAAAAGCAGTCCCAATAATTAGTTACTGATTGATCATCGTGGGGTCTTTATGTGGCCAGTAATACAACCTGCAAGCTGCGCAGTTTGGCGAACTGGAAAGACATCAGGCTTTGGAGTCAGGCAGAGCTGCGTGTCAATCCTCTGTCACTTTCTTCCTTTGGCTACTTCAGTGGTTATGCTTGCTCCTTTCCTTATAAAATAGGAACTACTGGTTGTGACACTGTTTAATAGTAAGCGTTAGAACTGCTAAAATTCATATTTGGATTGGGAGATTAGAAGGGTAGATAAGGCATGATTAAGTTTCAATTAATGGGCTTTATATTTAGGATGTAGCAGGCACTGGAATGTCTAATGTGTCATTTTAAAGTTTGCATTATAGCAATATAAATATATCTGATATTTCTTTGGTGTAATTATGTAGTATTTTATTGTGTGTAATTACAGTAAATTTTGAGGTCTGTCTATATAGGCTTCAGTATAGTTTTCCCTCCCTTGAGGAAACAGCTGGACACATTTCATCATAGTAATCATTTGCTTCTTTCCCCTGACTTTATTAGTAATGTACGTGAATTTTGAATAAGCAACACTCTAAAAAAAAAAGGAACAAAAAGAATCATCTGTAATCTCACCATCCAGAAATAACTATGTTTTGGTATTTTCTTCCAATTTTTTTTCTCTATGTATTATTTATATTCATAAAAAATGGTATCATACTTTATCCTGCCATGTTATTCTCTCATGAGGGTACATATCTAAGGGTACATCCATACTCTTAGATAACTTTTTAAAATGATTTTGAAAATGTTCTTTAGAAAACTACCTTATTATCCCATAGATATACCATTATGTATTTTAATCATTCTATTTTTTTGAACGCTGTTTCTGATTTTTTAAAAAACTCCTCAATAGAGGTGTAAGTTACAGCTTCCCCATTGATTGCCCATGTTGAGAGAACATTTTCTTCATCTTCAAAGCCTCAGTTTCCTTATTTTAAAAATGAGGGTAATGTCTTCCCAAAGGAGCTGTTTGAGGGTTAAGATGATACTTATAAATGTGTCTAGTACGGTCCCCACAGGAAGCAGCAGCTAATGTTCCTCATCCAGAATCTGGTGTTCATGTCCAGTGTGTTTCCTTTCTTTCTGTTTTAGTGATAATCTTTGACCATGCATCGGAAGAAAGTTGATAACCGAATCCGGATTCTCATTGAGAATGGGGTAGCTGAGCGTCAAAGGTCTCTCTTTGTTGTAGTCGGAGATCGAGGAAAAGATCAGGTAAGACCTGGTACACGCTTCTTGACTGATTTTGTATCCTGTCCCAAAGAGTCAGCATGTTACACAGGTCCTCTTGGGTTTCAGCACAATGAGATTAGGTCCCTTGACTAGTTTTCGTTAACAAAAATGCCTAGTGGGGCCCTTCCTTTGGTTTTTGTTAGTGATAAACTCTACATTTCGAATTCCTAGCAGACAGGTTAACAACTTTTGACATCTGGGATGGTGTACTGAGCACAAGGTTAAGTGTTTGTGACCTGGCTCCTAGTCCCAACCTGAACACTACTTACCTTGTGACCTTAGGCACCTCCTTTCCCTGGCCCTCAGTTTAGTTTCTGTGTATGTCAAATGAGGTCTTGGGCCTGGCAGTCTCAAAGTCTCTTATGACCCTGAGATTCTGTGACTTTTTTCTTTGGCAGGTGGTCATACTCCATCACATGCTATCCAAAGCAACTGTGAAGGCTCGGCCTTCAGTGTTGTGGTGTTATAAGAAAGAGCTGGGGTTTAGCAGGTAAGCTTCGCCCTTAGATGAGTGTCCTATGCTACTTCCAATTCCTGCTCGGTAGTTAAATGTCAGGAAATGATTTTTTGACATAGTTTTTCAGGGATTGTTAGTGGAAGTGCTGTCTCTGAGGACATTTCCAAATAGAGAAAACAATAGAGTTGATATCCTTTCTTCATTCCTGACAATGTTTTAAATTATTTTCATAGTCTTTAAGTCTCCAGTCCAGTTCCTTGCTTTCTGCACATGATTTTTCATTCTACTTTTCTAAGGTCACTTAATTCAAGTTCCTTCAGTTTCCTTTTCGTACCTCAGATTCACTCTGTGTTTTTACCTTCCCTTTTCCCTTTTTGTTCTGAGGAGGCCGTACCTTGTCCCGTGTTTACAGCAAACCCGTTTATCTACTCTGGATCTCTCCTCTCACTTTTTGCAGGACCTTCACCTTCTTTCCTCTGCCGGCCACTCCATGTCCCATTTGACACTTTCTCCTTTTTCCTGTTAAACATGCTCAGCTCTCTATTCTCAAGAAAAATAAAATTAAAATAAAATGATTAGCTACATATCCAGCTTTATCCCTCAGAATAGCATTTTCTCATTTTTATTGCCTTATACTTTGAAACAAGCCTTTTGCACTCCCAGTCACCCTCTTTGCTGTCTGGCTGCTTCTCCCGTTGTGACCAAATAGTGCTCTTGGAAATCATTTGATGACGCGATACCTAATGAGACAACTTTTCTTCCTTTTTCTCCTTTTCAGAGCTCTTCCTCTACCACTTTACTGATGTATTTGACAGGTGGCTAATCTTATTTCTTTGAAGCTGTAGAACTTAAGACTTCTAGTTGTAAATAGCAGGCCTCCAACACAAACACTTAGGCACCAAGGGAGTTTATTGAAGTATAGGGGAGCTTGTGAACCCTAAGGGGACGAGACTTCATCTCTGCCTCGGGGCGTAGAGCCAGAGTGCGGATGCTCTCAGTCCTTGCTCAGTCCCTCATCTCTCCATTCTGCTCTGTTTTTTCCCACTTCAAATCAGCTTTCTGTTTCTTGTGGTCCTCGTGGCAGAAACAGTACAGGAGTTTTATATGTTTCAGTAAATATATGGCGATCAGTCTTCCAAATTCTTGTGGGAAGAAGCCCATCCCTGGGCCAAGGGAGGTGGGGTTGATCACCTGGTGGAAACTTGGCAGTTCTACCTACAATGCTTTGTACGGAGGAGTCTGGGGTATGGAGCGCTATTACATGGCAAATAACTCACTATGTGGTCACTTCAGAAATGCTCTCCTTTCTTGGCTTCTAGGTCAGTTACTCAAACAACCTTCCTGAACTCTTCTCTTTCTCTTGGTCATATTATCTCCCAGCCAAGCCCAATTAGCATGTGTGATTCTGTCCTTGGGCCTCTTCTCTCTCCTGTAGTCCCAAACGTGTTTGTCTCTGATATTGACTCTGAAATCCTATCTCCAGCTCTGACTGCTCTCTGCTGTGATGAAGCTCCCAGCCTTTGCCCCTGCTGCCTCCCTGCTCTGGATGCTACTCCCACCTCGGTCATCACCTGTGGAATGCTCCTTGCCTATCAGGGCCTGCCTCCTTCCCGAAGCTCTTCCTCCATCCCTCAATTGCATGGCTCCTCCACCTCTTCAGCACTTGCCTTCTCTTACAGTGTCTGTCACCTTATGTTCTCGCTTTCTCTGGAAATAGTCCCTTGCACATTGGTCTTTTTTTTACTTCCATGTGGTAAGTTCATTTAGTTAGGAGGACTCTTCTGCTTATCTTTATATTTTCATACTTTTAAATGATCTGTCATGTTTGTAGTAGGTGCTCAGTTAACGTTTGTTGAGTTGAACGCATTAACAAGTACTAAGGTATTTTAATTTTACTAAGCGAAAGGTTACATTTGATTAGTTTCTTTCCTTTGGTCTTAAAGAGACTTGATTCTGCCTAAGAGAAACTAGATTTTGGGTTACTAGTTTTGCTTTTTAAAAAGGAATTATAAAAGCTTTATTATAAGAAATATAGAAAAATCACAAAGGTGAAAACAAAAAGCACCCATAGTTTCAACACTTAGGTATTGTTAGTGTCTAGCTGTATGTCACTGGTATGTAGTTTTAAACCATAATTGATATTTTGTTGTATATATTCTTTCATAATTGGGCAGATTAATTTTAATACAGATTGAAAATAAGGCCTGTTGCCTGTCAGCAGAATTGTAAGTTTTGGGGGCTTCTTATTCTCTGTTCAGTTGATAGATGTCAGATGGGTGCAGAATTAGGCAGTTCCCAGTGTTCTGGGAAGATTTGCCTTTTGAACTTCAGCCAGCTGATTTCACTTTTAAAAGTCTCTCTCTGCCTCTTGTAGCAATCCCACCCCTTTCTTGATGTCACAGGGCACCAGGTTAAAGCTGATGATTTTTTCTAAGTTATGGGCTAAGGCATGAGTCAGAGGGACAGTGGAAATTAATTCTTCTAACTGCCTCGTGTCACAGATGAGGAAGTGGAGGCCCAGAGGGAAAGCTTTGGTTCTAGCTATTCAGTTAGAGAACTATGATAAAATTTTGATCAGCTATAATCCTCAGTTATGGGGCTTTCTTGTTCTCCCTTCCCTATAAAAGACAGTCAGATATTCAGAGTTTATAAGACAAAAATATTCAGGAATTTCTGAGAGACTCATATCCCCTATCAGTATTGTCTTAGATTAGAGCTGCCATTGAGGACTTGATCCCACAGTCTGGGAAGGAAGTGGAGGAATTCATTTAGGAAAAATGAATAAAGTAACCCGCCATCACCGTGCCTTTCCCACCCAGGTCCTCTGGGGAGCAGTACCGTGTAGTTGAAGCAGTGGCTTGAGACTGAGGTAATGAGGCCACCGAGGTTGGTTTCAAGCTCTGGCCAAATGAAGTTTCGATACTCTCATTACCCTCCTTTTAAAGTGAAATATCTGCTGAAGGTGACAGAGCAAAATAGCAGAGCTGATGCACAGACTGACCACTGTCTCCCTCTGATCTCATCTTCTTAATCACCCCATTCCAGTTTTCTTCACCTTTAAAGGGAGGGGATTAGTCCTACAATTTCCAGCCTGCCTTCTAGCTCTGAAGCTCTAAGTGAATGATTATTGTGTTCATCTTCTGCTCCCAAGTCTTCAGCACCTCTAGTTAACTGGCTCTCATGGGATGGGGGGTTGGTTGCAGTCACCGGAAGAAAAGAATGCGACAGCTACAGAAGAAAATAAAGAACGGAACTCTGAACATAAAGCAAGATGACCCCTTTGAACTCTTCGTCGCAGCCACAAACATTCGCTACTGCTACTACAATGAGACTCACAAGATCCTGGGCAACACCTTCGGCATGTGTGTTCTCCAGGTGGGTGGCGTCTGCCGGCCTGTGACTGGAGCTGGAGCACTGAGGGGGTGTTGGGCTGCCTGGTTCCCGGAGCACAGGTGTACAGCAAGGAGAGAAGATGCACACCTTCCTCCCCTAAACATTATCAGTGGAGGACGGGGCCACTTTCCAAAGGAAACTCGATAACTCATCCCATATTAAAATAAAATTTTCTGCCTAAAGTGGCATTTGTCTAGAGATACCAAAATAAGCAGTGATGCTCTGTCACACCTGGTTCTAACCAGCTAAAGCTGATAAAGCACTGCGTACTTCAGGCGACCCTAGGACCCCAGATCATGATTGGAACTAAGTGAAGACTTTGGTGACAAGCGAGCGGTGGGACTTGTCTTACCAGTTGGGTACAGACCTGTGTGCTCATACGTCCTGTTGAGAGTGCTTGACTAGCATGTCCACCACCAGGACCTTCCACACCCCCACCCTCTCTAATCCTTAAAATCTCCGAGAACTACCTGATGAATTTCCTCACTGGTATATATTCTCTTGCCTGAGAGGTTAATAGACTAAGTTTCACATTTTTCTTTGTTTTGAGTGGTGGTGGTCTTTTTTTAATTCTTTGATTCTTTGACACCCCTCCTCCCACCATAAAAAGAAGACGTTTAAGCACAAATACCCACGTTTTGGTATCTATTTATTATCTACATGTAATATTATCATTATATACGTTATGAAACGTCCCTTCAAAATATAACTTAAGAAATATGGGGAGAAATTATGAATAGAAGATTTTTTCTTTCTGCATTCCAGTGGGTTGTCTCATCTGCTGCTGGTTTGCATCTTACCTCGGAGGCCAGAAAATAACATTTTGCCTCATTCTCACCTGAGCTCAAGCTCACCACTGTTACCAGTTGTGGTGATAATGGCTCCTTTAAGCAGTAGCTCCCTCATGTGGTGCATTCGAGCTCTGTCAAGTAGTTTTGATCTATAAACACTAGAAAATGAATGTGAAGTGTTTCTGAAATTCAGGCGTGAATCAATGAAGATTGGAGGACTTTTTTCCAAATATGATTTTATCAGAGATTATTAGAAACACTTTTGACATAAAACCAGGTACACGTGTTCTCTAGGGCTGGACTTTCTTCCGTGTTACTACTAAGTAAGAGGCTATGAGAGAGAGAGGGAGAGAGAGAGGGAGAGAGAAAGAGAGGAAGAGAGAGAGAGAGGGAGAGAGGAAGAGAGAGAGGGAGAGAGGGTGTGCACGTCCATTCTGGTGAGTTGAGTGAGGGGTATGGTCCTGAGTTTGTGCTCCAAAGCCCCCCTTTTACCTTATCACTGGCCCTTGACCGAACTTCTCTGTGGGTGCTCTTAGTATGACCAGCCCTTTCTAAGATCTCCTTCTTCCAGGATTTTGAAGCTTTAACTCCAAACTTGCTGGCCAGGACTGTAGAAACGGTGGAAGGTGGTGGGCTGGTGGTTATCCTTCTACGGACCATGAATTCACTCAAGCAGTTGTACACAATGACCATGGTAAGTCTGTTTAACTTAATTGTAGGAGGTTCAAATCAACCTATGTCTTTATGGTAGGCCACTTTTAAAAATTCTGGGTGAGCAATTCCAGGGAGCGGTCAGCATAACCTCTGGGCAGGGAGCTCTTTGACTGCAACCAATGAGAAAGCCACTGCAGAGAAATCTCAGTGACCCTGTGTGTGCCTCGGAACCTCTGAATTTTGCATTTGCTGCCAAGCATTTGCAAATTCTACACCAGTGAGATGCAGATATGATGCAGCTGTCATGTAGTTAGATTTCTGGATAGTATTCTGCAGAGTCGTGCCACTGCCTGTATTTGTGTATTGCAAAAAACAAGACTGTACACAGAGTTCCTCAGCGGCCCTCCTCCGCCAATGGATAATGATGGGACATGTGCTGGTTACACCCCCATGTTGGCAAGAACTTTGACTCTGGCAGGAGAGGTTTTCTCCCAGAGCTGAGGACATGGTTAGGCGTGGGGCTGTGTCTCACCAGGTGCCACACGGGCGTTCTGAGTGGCAGGGTGTGAGTCCTGTCCCCACCCCGCTGCTTGGGAATGATGTTTGGATTGGCATCAGGGTTTTGTGAGCTGCATTCTTTTGGTGACATGGACTTCTCTCACATCTTAGTACCTGCTTCCTGTCACCACAACTCCTTCCTTACTTGTCAATACAGCCCCTCTGGCCTCCTTGAAGGTCCTCAGACATGCCCAGCACACTCTCACCTGAGGGCCTTTGCACTTGATATTCCCATAGGAATATCTGCGTGGCTCCCTTTCTCACACTCTGTGGAGAACAGGAGGTTCTGTCCATCACTCCTTAAACTGGTGTATTTTTCGTCAGAGAATTTTACAGCTATATAAAGTTTTATATTTATTTATTCATTGTATGCCTTTCTGTGCTTGTCGCTAAACTTCATGAAAGCAGAGACTTTGTTTTCCTCAATGTATATTCCCAGATGCTAGAAGAGTCCCTGGTCTTCAGTAAGCACTCATTAAATGTTTGTGAATGAACAAACAAATGACTTTGTGCCCATTGCAGTTGGTTTGTTCTTCCCCACCTCTCCAGTGGCTGCCCGCTTATCACTTCAGAGGGCCTTCTCACTACCCTGTATAAGTAGGTTCCTCCCCACCCGCACACACATTTGCTATCACCGCACCCTGTTTTTCTTTTGTAGCATTTGCCAAAATTTGTATGTATTTACTCATTTGTCTCCCTGCAACCAAGAGACTATAAGCTCCATGAGAACAGGTCATGCTCTATGAAACACACCAGTGTGTACCCAGCATGTCGGGCACTGGCATGTACATTTTATTGAATGAATATGTTTCATGATGCTGGATAAAATGTGGTAAAAGTCAGGAGAAGTTAGTTGTAATAAGAAACACTGCATTTAGTTAGTGTCTCATCCCAGTTCCAGCGCATAGCATCTGGCCAGTTTGGCACAGCAGGTTATGGAGAAGTGGATTTTGTTTCCAGCAGCATCGCTGGCACCTCCTTTATCCTAGGGTTGCTCCATAGAACTTCTTCACATTCGGCCCTTAGCCTCAGCACTATACAGATGCCTTTGTTAATGGATTTTGTCTCTTTTAGGACGTACATTCAAGATACAGGACTGAGGCCCATCAGGATGTGGTGGGAAGATTTAATGAGAGGTAGGTCTGCAGCACAGTTCTCAGTCCCTTAATTGTGAAGAGCCACAGTGGGAGGACCCAGCTGAAAGCTGGACTTCTGTCGGAGGGAAGTCCAAAATGGTGAGTGTTCTGACTCTCGTAAAGCTAACCAGAAGCAGTGAAAGTGAGTGGAAAGCTGGGGCCAGGAGACCTGGATTCTGTCTTGCTTCTGGCCCTAACCAAGTCACCCTCTTCCTCTGGCTCTTAGCTTACTCTTCTGTCAAAGGAGTGATCTGTCCGGGTGACTATTTCCCAAAATGTGTTTTGTAGAACACTGGCGTTTTAAGAAGTACCTTATGACAAAAGGGTTTTCTGGCCCAGTATGTCTGGGGGATGCTGATATGTTTTTCCTTCATGAAGATTCACATTTGCCTGTTGCAGCCTCCGAAAAGCCTTGCAGCAGCAGGGGCCTGTTTAACTGATTATTTCTGAAACTGAGCCACAGGGTCTTTTTTTAGGGAACAGCAATTAGCATCTTAAGAAACTGAGGCCTAGATCAGTGGTTCTCAGCTTGAGTAGTTTTGCCCCAGGGGACATTTGGCAAGGTCTGCACACACTTTGATTGTCTTGACTTGGGGGAGACGGGGATTTGTGGAGGGTGCTATGGCATCTAGTGGTTAGAGGACAGGGATGCTGCTAAACAGCTTCCAAGGCACAGAACAACCCTTCCAACAAAAAATCTGGTTCAGAATATCAGAAGTGCTGAGGTTTCGAAATCCTGGCCTTGATGAACATTGGGGCCTTTCGCATTTCAATCATCTCTGTTGCTTTAACTCAGTAAAAGGAGTGGGCCAGGAGGTCGTTGTGTGCTGCCAGATCGAATCGAAACTGTGAAAGCGTGTGAGACTCTTTTCTTGCGGTCGTGGGAGAAGTTTGAATTTTATAGCCAAGCACGTGTTTTTCTACATGCAAGTTTATGTTATATTTCTTAAGGGAGCTTTCCTCTTCTCTCTTTAATTTTTTCTTCCTTGTGACACAAGGTAAATCCATTTGTGTATGTATATATTTCCCCGTGTGACCGGTGAGCGTATGTGAGGTGGATTTGGAGTTCCCCATTTAAGGGTGGCCTGAGACACCTTTGTGCTGAAAGGTGACCCTAGGAGGATGCGGAAAGGCCAGATGGCTCAGGGCACAGTGGCAGCTGTGCACAAGAGGAATGCTTGTAACCAGTCTCTTAAGAGAGTTCTCAGTTTTCTTTACTGTATAAAGTGTGTTCAGGTGCCTTACAGAGGAGGCTCGGAATCACCTCACATTGCTCTCCAACTGGCTTTTGGCTTAGAGACGTGGGGCCAAATGATTTTCCTGAAGAAAAGCCACAGCTTTGTTGTGCAGACATTGGCCCCCTCCCCACCAACACCTCATTATGGTGGTTTTGTTCCTCAGATTTATTCTTTCTCTGGCCTCTTGTAAGAAGTGTCTCGTCATCGATGACCAGCTCAACATCCTGCCCATCTCCTCGCATGCTGCCAGCATTGAGGCCCTGCCCCCGCAGACCCCGGTGAGCCAGCCAGGGGCTTGAGAATCTGGGGGAGGCTGCATTTTCGGTGTTTTCCTTCTTGTGTCAGTGGCAATCCTTCTCTCTCTCTCTGGTAGGATGAGAGTCTTGGTCCATCTGATCTGGAGCTGAAGGAGCTGAAGGAGAGCTTGCAGGACACCCAGCCTGTGGGCGTGCTGGTGGACTGCTGCAAGACCCTAGACCAGGTGGGTGTGGTGTTCAGAATGTCCTGCCCCAGTATAAGCAATGCAGAAAGCAAGAGAAGCCAAGTCAGGAAAAGTCAAGACTTGGATCTTCCCTGGGGCAGAGGCCTTTTCTCTTGCTCAAACTCATGCAGCGACAGCAGGGCTGTTCCCAGTCGTCTGGGTTCACAGTAGTTGTTCAGGGTTCTGTTCTAGCCTGAGCTGGACGACAGCACAGGCCTCTGGGCACTAGGCTCTGATGTCATGATGGAAAACAGCTGCAGTGACACCTACCAGTCGGGGCTGAGCCCCAGTAGGCTATTCCTTTTCTTTCCGGAAATAGAATCGCCAACTACGTAGCTCTCTATGTAGTCTTAGCTGTAAGCTCTACAGCTTAGAACCACTTCCCGATACCCTCTTCATCACCAGAGAGAGGGAGTGAGTGAAAAGATGGAGGAAAGAGCAGGACAGGGAGACACTACAGTGTAAGTAGTAGTGTTGCAGAATAAATGTTAAGAATTTTCATCGCAAGGAGAAAATTTTCTTCCTTTATTCTTCTTTCTTTTTATTGTAGCTATATGAGAAGACAGATATTAGCTGAATGTATTATTCGAATTATTTTACAATACAATTGAGCCTTGAACAATGTGGGGTTGAACTGCACGGGTCTGCTTACATGTGGATTTTGGTCAGTTGACCCACGCAGGTCAAGGGTCAGCTGGCGGTCAGGAAGCTGCATATGCGGAGGGTGTTATATGTGGATTTTTGACTTTATAGGTGGTGGGTATCCCTAACCCTACATTGTTTAAGGGTCACTTGTACGTGTAAACCATGCTATACACCTTGAACTTGTACAGTAATGTATGTTAATTATTTCTTAATAAAACTGGAAAAAAATAGTGGAGATTTTACTTGACAGTCCCACTCTGCAGAGACAATTACTATTAACAATTTATTGTGTTTCCTTCTGGATCTTTTTCTACACGTGTTAATGGATATTTTAAAAATATACGAAGAGGTCACACTGTACAGAGTATAAATGATCCCCTTTTAGATATTTGGGTTGATTTCCACTTCTTTGCTGTTATTAACAATGCTGTTAGGATGTTCTTACAGATACATCTGTGGGCACTATCTCTAGAATAAGTTTTCAGGAGAAGAATTGCTGGATCAGAGTATGTGTATATTAAAATGGGTGTTGCACCAATACATGGAACTACCAGCAGTGTGTGAAAATACCTCTTGCCCTGGAGCCGTGCCAACACTGGGTACTAGGAAACTTATAAGTCTTTACCAATCTGATATGGGAACATAGGATCATTGTTTTATTTTGTGTTATTTAAATTATGAGAGAAGCAGGCACCTTTCACATAATTACTGATCACCCTTTTTTTTTTGTTTTGTTTTGTAAACCAGATTGCTTTTTTGTATTGGTTTTTCATTTTAGAAAAATGTTTTAGAATGCATTTGTAGTCCAGATTTTGTGCCCTTTTATTGTGTTAGTGGATTTTTCCTGTTATGTTTTGTTGGAGTTTGTACTTCCCTACTGTAAAGTAAAAGACGAAAAGGTAAAATACAGTGTTCGGCAAAGGCTGAGTTAGGACGAGTCGATCCTGGATCTCCTTTGAGTGCTTCCATCTGCAGAGACTTTGGCTTCCTGTGGCCCCTCTCCTTCCATCCGCCTGGGCCTGCATCTCTTCAGTGTCTTTGTGTCACTTGCCCAGGTGCATAAGGCAGCTTCTCTAGGACCCAGCAGGCCAGGGCTCTGGCCATCTTCCCAGTCTCAGTGGCCTGTTCCCAGGGTAGATTCCATTTAGGGAGCAGAGTTTGGCTCCTGCGTAGTGTGGTAGTCCCTCCTTTCATTCAGTGCCACTGGCATCTTACATACCCTCCCCGGTGCCAAGTACTCTTCTAGCTACTGGACTCAGTAGTAAACAATAGGAACACACCTGTTTCATTCTGGTAGGATGAGACAGACAACAAATCAAGGAAATAATCAAATCCTATAGCTCAGTAGAAGGTGCTATGTACGATGGAGAAATGTAACAAGCAGTAAAGAGGGATAGACAGTGCCAGGAGGAGGCTGGATGCTGTGGTTCTAGATAGAGTAGCCAGGGAAAGCCTCATCGAGAAGGCGATATTTAAGCAGACTTGAAGGAGTTGAGGGAATGAGCCACGTGGCTCTCTGGGGAGAGAGTGCTTCCAGCAGAGGGTTCACCAGATACACAGGCCTGAGGTAGTCTGACTGGTGCGCTCGAGCACTAGCATTGGGCTGAAGCAGAGTGAGTGGATGGGAGCAGGAGGAGGTGATGGGGGTCAGAGAGTACGTGTTAGTGCAGGCCACTGGAAAAGGTTTGGCGCTTACTCTGCGAGAGCTGGGGATTAGTGGAGGTAAGTTTTAGGCTTATAGTCTCTTAGCACAGCTGCCAGAGGGATCCCAGGCTTAATTTTAAAAGGATCTCTCGCTGCTGTGTTGAGTCTAGATCATAGAGGAATGAAGGTGGGAGTAGAAAGACTAATTAGGAGGCTACTGTAATAATGGGGGCAAGACAGGATGGCGGCTTCTACTAGGTAGAGGAGGATGATGGTGAGGAATGGTAGGACTTTGTATGTTTTTAAGGTCACACTGGTGGGATTTGCTGATAAATCAGGTGCAGGGAGAAAAGGCAGAAGGCTAAACAGTTGGACAGTTGACTGAGATGGGGAAGATTGTAGGTGGGGAGGTTTGAGGGCCACAGTAGGCATTTGGTTTTAAGGTTGACTTATCCTTTAGAGGTACACGTGGAGATGTGCAGGGGCAGTTGCATGTGTATAAGACTCTGGTGTGTTGGGAAGATTAGGTGTGAATTTGGGGGTTATCCATATCTCACTGATATTTAAAGCCTCAAGACCAAGAGCAGGTGACCACGGGAGTGGAAGTCCAGGTGCACTCTGACCTATAAGAACTGTCCCCATTTTATTTGGCCTTGGCGTCAGCCTGACTTCACGGCAATGGTGATAGATGGCTGAAACTTTGGCCTTTCTCAGAGCTCACCTTATATGTGTCTCTTTCCACAGGCCAAAGCTGTCTTGAAATTCATCGAGGGGATCTCCGAAAAGACCCTGAGGAGTACTGTTGCGCTCACAGCTGCCCGAGGAAGGGGGAAGTCTGCAGCCCTGGGATTGGCTATTGCTGGGGCAGTGGCTTTTGGGTAAGGGAGTCCTGTTCCCCATCTCTAGGCGCTCCGGGCTCTGAGGAAGAAGTGGGAAGGATTAGGGCTCAGGGGACTGGGAGACTGTTCTGGGTCTGAGCAGGCTCTTGTGTGATTTCTCTAGGTGTTGGGTTCCTGTCTAGAAACAGCAATCACTTTCCCCCAGCTCCCCAGAGGTGCACATATACATGCACAGGCACAGACTCACACACACAGAGATACACACACACACACACACACCAGGGCCTTTGTGATCACTATTTAACATTGAACAAACAGAAAAGCAAAGAAATAGGTAAGAAACTTTAAAACTCTCAGGAGATGAGAATGTATATGACCAGCTTTGCTGACTGAGAGAAGTTCAAGTTTGACATTTTAATGATTTTGATCAGTAGAAGATCTTGTTTACTTCTGAGGAGCTGCCTCGAGTGTGACATTACTTTCTGTTCTTTTGCCCTGAGTGGGAGACTCATGTAACTTCCAGCAGAGTTCGTGCTTCTAACTCTACAGGCATAAACAGTCGACCTGGACTGGATCTAGGAGATGGTGTTCTCCCCTGCACATCATCTGTCTTGGTGCTCCTTATTGCTCCATGAGCATTTTACAGATGGAGAAACCCAGGAGTTTCAGTGACTTTGCCAAGATCCCCCAGCAAGCCATCGCCAGTAGCACTGGCACTGAGTTCAGCTCCTGACTCTTAGTTATTTGTTTCTCTTGCTGTTCCAGCGACACCACTCGGCCCCTTAGCCATTAGCATCCTTTGCATTTACAAAAATCTCTCAGAGATTTGCCGTGGCCTTGGCCTTGGCACCAGTGGAGTTTTCTGGCTTCACAGTTTGAAACCCTCTCAGCACAGGTAGTGACGAATGTGAAGCCGGCCCCCTTGTCCCGGGGTAGGATTGGGGAGCAGCGTGCTGGTTCTGCATGTCGAAGGAGTTGTCCCCACAGTGCCTGTCAGCAGTGTGCTTGCAGACATGTCTTTAGTTAATTGCTTCCTTCAGATCGTTAATGTGTTTTAGTGGGGGAGGAAAAATTTCCTCAGGTCTGGAGTTGCTGTACACTTCCTCCCCAAAAGGTTTCCTGACTTTTCCCCCTGCCATTGTCTCTGGTTATCACCTGTGTGACAGGGGCAACTAGAAATGTTTTCTTTTTTTCTTAAGTTCCAGAAACATTTTTTAGATTTCCTAATTACTTAAAAAAAATTGCTGCTTTTTCTGTTCAATAGGTACTCCAATATCTTTGTTACCTCCCCAAGCCCTGATAACCTCCACACACTGTTCGAATTTATATTTAAAGGATTCGATGCTCTGCAATATCAGGTAGGAAATTAAGATAAGAATTTGATTCATTCATGGTTTTAAATCCAGTTGAAGTCTTTAGAATGCATACTTACTTTCTTAATATGTAGTTTCTAAAGCTTATTTCTAAAGTTTGTCATTGTTTGACTTTTTCTCCATCAGGAGCATCTGGATTATGAGATTATTCAGTCTCTAAATCCTGAATTTAACAAAGCAGTGATCCGAGTGAATGTATTCCGAGAACACAGGCAGACCATTCAGGTGAGGCTCATTCTAAAACCTTGGTGTGTGGGGCCAGTGTCTTGCTGTATTTAAATGACTCTGAAATGTTTTCTTTTATAGACAGTTGTTTTATGATAAAACTGTTGCAGATCTTCACCGTCTTCTTAAAAAAAAAATTTTTTTTTGAAGCAAACTTAACAAATGTATGTAGCCAGATTGGAAAGTTATAGTTTTGTCCCACAAAAATTGAGTAAGTGGGATTGAGAGTATGCTAATCTGCCAAGAGAAATATAATCATCGTTCTGACATCAGTTCTAATTTTGCTTAGTTACAGCAGGTTTTAAAATGGTGCATCTGTAACTAGAACAATAACCTTACCGTTTAAAAGAAAAAGAAGAACTTTGCAAAAATGTACTCTGAATCTTTGTGGTTTAGCGAGTGGCCCGTTTTCCTTTTTAAACAGTGTTTCCCTGAGCGCTCCCTAAATCCCCGGGGCTCTGTAAGCCTGAATGGTCTGCGCTTGTCCAAAGGCTGCAATTTTGTTAAATCGTAGAGAAGCATCAGTGCGACAGGTTTGCAGAAGGGATGGAGACCCATGGGCTCCTAGTGAAGGAGGCTCATTGATTATTTTTGGAGTTGGGTTGGGGTGGGAAGTGAGGTGGGTAAATTTAGCAGTTTAGCCTTTAACCTTTATGCCTGTCGGGGAGGTGTAAATGCTTGTGAAAGAGGTGTACCTTTTATCAGAGTCCAGATTATAAATGATGTTAAGTGTTTATGCCTTTTACCTAAGGATCTTCATTTTTTTCTTGTTATGTCTCTAGAATCTCATTCTATACATTTCTTCCCATTTCGTCTTACTCCCTTAGCTGAGAGGAGGAAAGACTGGTGTTGGGGTGGGCTGGGGTCAGGGGAGATAGGCTGTGGGCAGTGAGACTACAGAGACCTGTTAAAACTCAAGAAAAATACACACACACATACCGCAGAAGGAGAATCTTTCCCTGAAATGCCCTGGCTCAGCCCTTGCCGCTCCCTGGATTTTTAATCAGATGCTCCCTCACATTACCAGAGTCCTTTTGTCTCTAGATTGGAGTTTAAGCACAGACAAGGCGACCTGACTTTATGAGGCTCCATTTATGTCTCTTTGCAGCCTCCTTCTTCTTGCTGGAAATTGAAAAAGAGGAATATTAGATTCAAGTCTGCTATGCCTCCCCTTAGGGGACTGCTTTCTGTTGCTTTTATGAGGTGCTTGTTTAGTTGTTCCCCTTAAAAATGCAAGACGTGGGGTCCTGTTTGAGGATGTTTATCCTGCTGTTAGAAATGAGTGGGGTCACTGCCTTCCTGACCCATCAACTTATAGGAAAAGAGTTACAAGATCTTACTTGAAACGAAAACATAACAAAAAGGGAGACCAGTGTAACACTCAGATACACAGCATTCAGGTTTAAGAAATGTTGACATTTTGCTATTTGCTAAGTTTGTTTTGTTTTTAAAAAGTCGTTTATATTTTTGTCTTAAAGATCTAAAACATCACAGACAGAGTGAAGTCCCTCTTGTACCCCTCCCCATCCCATTCCCTTCTGTCACTCCCCATAAGTAACTCTATTTTGAAATCGGTGTGTTTCCTTTCAATTCATGTGTTTATATTTTACTACATATAAACGGTAACATACTATACCTGTTTGAGGATGTTTATCTTGCTGTTAGAAATGAGTGGGGTCACTGCCTTCCTGACCCATCAACTTATAGGAAAAGAGTTACAAAATCTTACTTGTAACGAAAACATAACAGAAAAAGGCAGAGACCAGTGTAACACTCAGATACACAGCACTCAGGTCCTTTTCAGCTTGCCTTTTTTAACTCAACATTTGTTTTTAAGACTTGCCCAGATTGAAACTTGTAGATCTGGTTGATTTCAACCACTGTGTGTGTGTGTGTGTGAATATACTGCAGTTTATTTATGTTTTTCTAGAAGTGGAATTGTTGGGTTTTAGGGGATGGTAGCTTCCCAGCTCTCTTAGATTTTGCCAAATTTTCCTTTAAATTTATCTTCATACCAGCATTTTTTTTTTTTTCTTTTTTTTGTTTTTGTTTCCCCAAGTCCTCACCACTGCTGGCTGTTTTGCAGCTATTTAAGTTTTACCTGTCTGCATATGAAATGGGATCTCCTTATTGTCTTCAGTGCTGCATTGATTACTAGTGAGGCTGAGTGCCTTTGTTTATGTTAATTGGCTAATCAGGTTTCCTCTCCTGTAAAATACCTCTTCACGCCCTTTTGCAAACTTTAAATACAGCAGGAAACCCTGAAGAAACTGAAGGGGCTGTTTGTGTGCATAAAGATGTCAGGCTTATGGCAAGTTTATGGCCTCAGGTGGCCAAGCTAATATAAATTAATGCGTGAATGTGTTTGTGTATATTAAGAAGGGAATAAGCCTTCAAAGAATCCCACCCCTGCAGGGAGACATGGCCTTTGTAAAGATGGTATCAAAGCCGGGTGCACCGTACCTAACGCCCAGTAGATGCCTGAGAAACCTGACATCCTCCCATTAGTCATCTGCCTCACTGGCCAGAGTGAGGCTGCGGGGAGGCATGAGAAGACAGAGAGAGAAAGGAAAGGGAGGCAACACCTACCAACACTAGCCAGGCACAGGGCATGGCGTTTTTACAGATTTACCCGAGTTTTCTTTGAAGCAGCCATCAGACAGGCATGTTTTCCACAGGAGAGGAATCTGAGGCTCTGTGACATAAGTGACCTGTCCAGGGTCACACAATCAGTGGTCGAACTGTTTAAACCCAGGCGTCTGGCTCCAAGCCCATTTTCCTGCCAAGGGAAAGTGGAAAGGAGGAAGGAGAGAAAGAAGAAATGGGGAAGGACGATCATAATCAATAATGCTAGTGATCATAGTTGCGACATTAGGCGGCCAAGTGAGTAATAGAAAATTTTCTTTCCCACAGTATATACATCCTGCAGATGCTGTGAAACTGGGCCAGGCTGAACTTGTTGTGATTGATGAAGCTGCCGCCATCCCCCTTCCTCTGGTGAAAAGTCTTCTGGGCCCTTACCTTGTTTTCATGGCATCCACCATCAATGGGTGAGGCGCCTTGGGGTAGTCATTGCACTTATTATTGTATGTCCTTGCAGATTAGGTGGCATGTAACGAATGTGGCCTGGGCCTGGATAAGTAAATAGGTCTGATTCCCGAAATCTGAGTCTTAACAGCTGCTTCACTCTCTCCCGGGGCTTCTGCAAATGGGAGCTGGCCTCTTAGTAATCATCGGCAGCTCACCTCTGGTCTGACATTAAATGGGCACCCCAAGACTGAAGACTTTCATAACCCAGGTGATGAGTGTCTGCTGTCTGTAGGCCTGATCAAGTTTTTAAAAGTATATAGATGGTAATACCGATGTCTTGTATCTTAGAATTATGTGAATGTACAGTATAAAGTAACTATAATTAGCATAAGAAGGCTAGCCTGTAATGGCTCAAGAGGTTTTTAAAATTTTTGAAACATTTAGTTCATGTTTGCTATAGAAAAATTAGAAAAAAAAACAAAAAGCACTGGTGATTCAACCATCTAGAGATGCTTCTGTTAGAATTTCAGTGTCATTTTCTGAGCACTTTACTTTTTCGACAAGAACATTGTTTATTATTTTTAAAATGTTTTTTACATTACAATATACTGAAATCTTTCCAGGTCCGTAAATACATATTTTTAATGTTAGAAAGATTTCTGTATGGAAGTCACATCTTAGAAAGATAATTCTATATGATAAATTTATTATTATGACTGCTTTACTTGCACTGAAATTAAAAAATTTAAATAAGTTGAATTTTACTTTTTTTGGTAATAATTTTATTGAGATACATAATTCTCATATCACACAATTTACCCACTTAAAGTGTATAATTCAGTGGTTTTTAGTGTATTCACAGAGTTGTGCAATCATCCCCACAATCAATATTAGAACATTTTCATTAGCCCAAAAAGAAACCCAGTACCCCGTAGCTATCATCTACCAATCTCTCCCTGCCCTCCAGTCTTAGGGAACCACGAATATATTTTCTGTCTCTATAGTATCTGCCTATTCTGGACATTGCATATTCATGGAATCAGTAGGTGGTCTTTTGTGACTCGCTTCTTTCACTTAACATAATGTTTTAAGGTTCATCCATGTAGCTGGTATCAGTACTTCATTCCTTTTTATGGCCAAATAATATTTCATTGTGTGTTTATACACATTTTGTATTTGCATTTATCTGTTGATGGACATTCAGGTTGTTTCTATCTTTTGGCAATAAAGAATAGTGCTACTGTGAACATTTGTGTCCAGGTTTTTGTGTGGACATGTTTTCAATTCTCTTGGGTATATGTACCTACGAGTGGAATTACTGGATAAGATGGTAGCTTTTCATTTAACCATTTGCGAAACTGCCAGACTGTTGTCTAAAGCAGCTGAACCGTTTTTCGTTCTTACTAGCAATGTATGAGGGTTCCAGTTTTTCCATATCTTTGCCAGCGTTTGTCATGTCTTTCTGATTATAGCCATCCTGGTGAGTGCGAAGTGGTGTCTTATATGGTCTTCATTTGCATTTCTCTTATGGCTGATGATGTGGGGCGTCTTATATGTTTATTGGCCATTTGTGTATCTTCTTTGGAAAAATAGCTATTCAGATCCTCTGCTCATTTTTCTAATTGGATTATTTGCCTTTTTATTATTGAGTTGTGAGAGTTCCTTATATATTCTAGGTACAAGTCTTTTATCAGATACATGACTTTACAAAATTTTTCTCCCATTCTGTGGATTTTTTTTCACTTTCTTGATAATATCTTTTGAAGCACAAGTTATTAGTTTAGTTTTTTGTACTTACTCTTGATTTTTTATTTTTATTTATTTAAGTAAGTAAATGGAATTCCTTTAAGAAAGCTTTATTATGTGGGGTAGGGAGAGAGAATGAAATATGTCAAAATTCCATTTTTTAAATCATTCTTTAAAAGTATTTGAGTAAGATAAAGCATTTATAGTCTTTAAATATTATAATAATGAGTATTACAAAACAATATAATACTAAAAAAAGAAAGCATGCTTAGCACTCTGCACCCTGTGATCACATAAGCTTGTGACAAAAGACAAGGAAGAAATACAGTTAAAAAGTGCTGGTTCGGTGACTAGATTGTAGATGATTCCTTTTTTTTACGAGTTGTTTTATGTCACCTTTTAAGTGAAAGTAGTAATGAAGAGAATTACTTGGGCGGTAGATTTGTTTCATCTTGATTTTCCAAACTGGGAAGCGCTCTCTGTTCACTCCTTCAGGCATGTTACTGCTGACAGCAATTCTCGTTAATTGACCATTTAACTATATTCCAGCAGCAGTATTCTTTTAAAAGCTTTACTCATGTCATCTTTTCAGTCCTTATATTTTTAGTTCATAGCACAGTCCTGTGAGGTGTGTAGAATCATCCCCTTTTGAGGATTGCTAAAAGAGGTTGAGTTCCTTGCCCAGAGGTACCAGGACTTGAACCTAGGATGGCTTCACATCGAGCCACTGCGCTGCCTCGCCTCTCTTGGGCATGCGCATGATGTGTTGGAAATTCAGAGGTGAGCAGGGCTGTCCCTGGGGAGCAGGAGTCTCGTGTTTTGGTAGAATGAGGAAAGTAGTTCTCTGTACCCTTCTAGAGAGTGGATTTGAGACCTTGTGCCTGATTGTCTTTGCTTTTGCTCCTAGCTACGAGGGCACTGGCCGGTCACTGTCCCTCAAACTAATTCAGCAGCTGCGTCAACAGAGTGCCCAGAGCCAGGTCAGCACCACTGCTGAGAACAAGACCACGACGACAGCCAGACTGGCTTCAGGTACCTCATCTCTGAATGGGCCTCGCAGTCCACAGCAGCTCTTCAGACTCTTGCTGGTCCCTTCCCCTTGTGCTGTCATGGGTGTAGCAGACCTTCTACAATCAGGCAGAAAGGTTCAGTCCCCAAGAGGTGAAGTTGCTTTTCTCAAGGAGCAGCAAGCCAGTGACCAGAGGGGAGCCTGACCGGGCCTTTAGGTGCCTGGGCCCTTTTTGTCCCCATCTCAGGGTAGGAGTGCATTGACTCAGTGAGATCCCTTTGGGATTGGTGTCATGGTAGGTCGAATACCTATTAGAACAGTTTAAAACCACTTGGTTTAAATTGTAGAGCTATATTTACATTGGCACCCTGTGACAAAGGTAAAGTAGAGCATTTGCCTTGCTCTTTTAGACAGAACGTGTTTAATAACTTTCTCATTGTGTGTGTGTTTTGTGGGGAACAGCGAGAACGCTGCATGAGGTTTCCCTGCAGGAGTCCATCCGATACGCCCCTGGGGACGCGGTGGAGAAGTGGCTGAACGACTTGCTGTGCCTGGACTGCCTCAACATTACTCGGATAGTGTCAGGCTGCCCCTTGCCTGAAGCCTGTGAACTGTATCCTCCTGGGTTTTATTTGTCCTATGATAGGGAGAGGGGGTGAAGAAGGAATTACACAAAAGGTTTTGGAGTAAAACCTCTGCTCTTAGGAGTGGGGAAAGTTGAACATTCTCGATTTCCCTTCTTTTCTGTCCCTAATGAGTTTCTGCTCGGATATGGGGCTCCTCTACTCAAGCTGAGGGAAAGCCGTATATCCAGGTGACCCTTGGCATGTCTTGTTTTGGGCTCTCTGGTTTGTTTTGGTTGCTTAACTCCAGACCCAGCTACTACGTTAACAGAGATACCCTTTTCTGCTACCACAAGGCCTCCGAAGTTTTCCTCCAACGACTTATGGCCCTCTACGTGGCTTCTCACTACAAGGTATCTGCAGGTGGCCTTTGAGTGAACTTGAGCCCCACAGACCCCTTTTACTTGGCTTTTCACATCTTCTGTTACCCAGTGGTGCAGGTGACCGTTCCACTGGGACTTAAATATCCTGACATTGGCAAGGGCCAGTGATCTTGCTGGAGGGATCGCATTTCCCACTGTCCTTGCCATTGTCTTGGGCTTCCAGCTTTGTATGCGGAGCGTGGAATTCCTGCCTGTAGCTCCATGCCTGGTTGCTGGAGAGGTACAAAGCATCACCCATTTTTACTTCTCTTTCTTGCCTGTCTGCTAAGCCGATCGGCTGAGATGACATAGTTGTAACCTCTTGGTGCTGTTTAACTTGAGACCTGCCTTGTACCTCTGGGCTATTTTTAAGGAGCAGTGAATGAAAATTCAGAATATTGGAAAGTGTTAAAAACTAAAGGGCATGTTGAAAAGGACACTTTGAGTGTGTAGGTAGTATTTTTATGAACACCCTTCAATGGAAGGCTGAACAGTTGGTGTTAGTAGTGGTGACAGGTTTTCTTGAAGTAGCAGCATCTCATCAGGACAGAGTTCACTCCCCAGCTGTGACAAGGGGTGCTCACTAAGTGGTTCTGTGCCCCTGCTCTGCAGCCTCATCACGCATGGTGAGATGGCAGCAAGCATTTGAAGCCAAGTCCCACTTAAGCCATTTCGAAGAGTCTCAGGCTGGCTGCCCAAGATACTAGAAAGGTGCTTTGCTGAGTTTTGGCTCATCACTTGGCTTTGGGAAAGGCAGTACTCCAGTCATCTGTTGATTCTGAGTAGCCTTTTGAGTAAAGGATAAGAAGAGGAGTGGCTCTCACTGACCTGTGTTTATGCCCATAGAACTCTCCCAACGACCTCCAGATGCTCTCTGATGCGCCTGCTCACCATCTCTTCTGCCTCCTGCCTCCCGTGCCCCCCACCCAGAATGCCCTTCCCGAAGTGCTTGCTGTCATCCAGGTACAGAAGCAGAGGTGTCCTTGTGGGGTTGATTTTGGGAACTGCTTAGGTGTCAAGGATTAATGGCTCAGTAATTGCATTATGGGAGGGAAGATGTTGATTCCTGGCCTGCAGCCAAGTGGCTGGGTGTGTCAAGGCAGGTGATGAGGGTGCATCAAAGAAGGCTTCACTGTTCTTGGATGGGTAAAAGTACTGGCCACTTGTATTCCGACTTACAGCTCCTCCCAAAACGGAACTTGTTTTTATACATGATACTTATAAAAAGAGAAAACACAGACTGGAAGGAATAATGTTTTTAACACCTGGCATATATTTATACATTTTTATATTATTTTTCCTTTTCATAGATATGGGATCATAGTGGTAATTTTTTTGGTAATTTTTGTTGGTGATTTTTTTTTTAGTGTGTGAAATATTTATAGTCTGCATAATTTTAAAAGCTGCATTTCATTATATGCATGGACCATAACTGTGTTTAATCATTCTCCTATCAGACACTTGAGTCATTGCGAATTTGCACTATTCTGTACAGAGCTGCGTGAGCATCCTGTGTCTTGATGTGTGCACATGTACACCATTCGTGGAGATCCTCTTGTAGTGTGGTTTTTGCTGTTTAGGCCAGGAAGATGTTAGCACTCAGCCTTGTTATGATGGTGTTAGGATACCCACAGGGCAAAGTAATGAAACTTCCATTGGAAATGGATGAGTCAGTTACAGGATTAAGCCTGACCTGGGGTGGAAACAGCTGACTCAGTCCCCGAACTAGCAGAATGTTGATGTGTGAGTGGGCTCTGTACCTGGGCCCGGCCTCCTTGTCTGCAGAGTCCTGCTTTCCCCCTAGGTGTGCCTCGAGGGGGAGATCTCTCGCCAGTCCATCTTGAACAGCTTGTCTCGAGGCAAGAAGGCTTCAGGGGACCTGATTCCGTGGACGGTGTCAGAACAGGTGATGCGCCTTCCCTGGCATGTCTGAGTAATTGAAGCTGGCAGTGTCGGAGGATGTGTTGTGTTGCTAAGTTACTGGCTTGTGTCTCCCACACAGTTCCAAGATCCAGATTTCGGCGGCCTTTCAGGTGGAAGGGTCGTTCGCATTGCTGTTCACCCGGATTATCAAGGGGTAATGTGTTCTCTTGCATAAACCTGGTGTGCTGTTACTAGCTGCAGCCGTGTCGCTGGCGGCCTGTTAGGGCAGGTGTACTCTACTGCTTGAGTAGGCAGATGGTCAAGGAGCAAGCAGTTCCAGGCACTCCTGTCCTGGAGTTTGCCTGGGGCTGGGGCTGGGTGGATGGGATGCTCACATATGCTTACTCTTCCTGTGTGAGGACAGGGGACTTGTGAACCAGATCTATTTTCTGTAATTATCTCCTGTCTCTTAGAAATCCCCACTGAGGAGTTAGCCGTTGAGACATCAGTTTTTGGCTTGCTGATCTGTAGACCAGAAAGCACAGCCAGCCATCCTCACGCTCAGGTGGCAAATGGGCTGTTCTTGATGGGCAGTGCGAGAGCAAGGGCCATACTATGCTCGGTCAAAAGGGTCTCTGCTTTGGCGTCACTGAGGGATTTCATTGGTTCTCTTTGTCAGGTGCACTTTAACCCAGAGTGACATCTCTCTTCCCTTTTCCTGTTTCCCTCTGTGTTTGCTCATAGATGGGCTATGGCAGCCGAGCTCTGCAGCTGCTGCAGATGTACTATGAGGGCAGATTCCCTTGTCTTGAAGAAAAGGTCGTTGAGACGTCACAGGAAATTCACACGGTCAGCAGCGAGGTAAGCATCCCTGGCCAAACTCCTGGTTTCTGGGACGATCTTTTCCTGGTAGCATCATCAAGATGCTGGGCTCTCTGAGTAGTAGCAGATTTCCTCTTCCATTTTAGAGAAGCTGCTGCTTTTCTCCAGCCTAACATTTGAGATCTTTAGATCAGCATCATTAGCATCACTTGGAAACTTGTTAAAAATGCACATTCTTGAGCCCTGCTCCAGAGCTCCTGAATCAGAAGCTTCGGGTGGAGCCAGTAACGTGTCTTAACCAGCTCCCAGGTGATGCTGATTCACGTTCCTGCTTAAAACCACAGCTCTATGCTCTCTTGGTACTAAGCCCAGACTCAGGGGAGTTTTGTCTTTCTTGGTAAGCGTGGTTAATGCTCTAACAGCTTTCATACACATTCATTTAAATTTTACAGTATGCCTATTGGGGAAGTAAGGCTTATATTTAAGGTTGGGCTCAGAGGTTTATTATTTTTGAAATCACAAAGATGTCCAGTGACAGAGCTGGGTCTTCAGCCCCATCTTCAGTACTAAGCCCAGACTCAGGGAAGTTCTGTCTTTCTTGGTAAGCATGGTTAATGCTCTGACAGCTTTCACACACATTCATTTAAATTTTACAGTGTGCCTATTGGGGAGGTAAGGCTTATATTTAAGGTCGGGCTCAGAAGTTCGTCATTTCTCAAATCACAAAGATGTCCAGTGACAGAGCTGGGTCTTCAGCCCCATCTTCAGAACCCTACCATGTCTCTTTGTATATTTGTTAGGTATTTATTTCTAAACTGTGTGGTTCTTCCGCATTCTGGGTGCTGAGCAGTATGAGTCCATGCTCATCTAGAGGTTTGGTATACTTAGGAATGAGCACTGGACTTAGTCGTGTTCTTATATTTTAAAAACCATGGGAACAAACCAAGAAACCTGTCCTGGTGCTTGTTGTGTTCAGTCTAGAGCCCGGTGTGGCAGAGGTGCTTGGGAATATGTCACTGACCTCCCCTTTCTCTCTGCTGAGTGAACTGTGTTCTCTCCCTGGCATCTTCTAGGCTGTCAGCTTGTTGGAAGAGGTTGTCTCTCCCCGAAAGGACCTGCCTCCCTTGCTCCTCAAATTGAATGAGAGGCCTGCTGAGCGCCTGGATTACCTGGGTGTGTCCTATGGCTTGACCCCCAGGCTCCTCAAGTAAGAGTTTGCCTGTCTTTCCTCCCTGCATCACGTCTTTGGCCTTGGTGTCCTGAAAATGAGAGTTCCGTGGGCTGCGTGTCTGCCTTTCCAGCAAGGGTGTATCAGACGTTCGTTGGCTCCTCGCTTCGCCTGGCCCTTCCCAGCTGTATCTGTCGGCCACTCTCAGAATGTGCACACGGTGACCTGCTCTCTCTGTATCTTTGCAGATTCTGGAAACGAGCTGGGTTCGTTCCTGTTTATCTGAGACAGACCCCGGTGAGTGAGGCATCTGGCAGAGGAGGGCTGTGGGTTTGTGGTTATAGCTGGTGACAGGTCTGTTCCTGCACAGAGCCCTGGTGCTCCCAGCTATGCTCTGAGCAGGTGTACCTTTGTCTCTGAGAGGCTTGTTCTAATGGACACCAGAATAGTCACCATCACTGAAAGGCCATGTAATCACATAATTTATTCCCTCACTCCTGGTACATTCTGGGTTTGGGCTTGATTATAAAATGGCAGAAGTGCACATGGACTTGCTCGACTAATTCTAGAATTCTATAAGCCTTATTGAACTTAAAAAAAAAAGAGAGAGAGAGAGAAAGAAAAGTGGTTTTAGGAGGTGAGTTCATGACAGAGCCATAGAGGATTATTATGGAAGGGGAGAGAGAGTTCATGACTGAGTTCATTAAAAAAATATTTAGCAACTTTCAGTGAATCAAACAGTGGGCATGCTAAGCCATGAAGGTTATTTTCTACTGGGTAGAAGAGGCAAGAAAAAATGAACAAATACATTTTCAGGTAGTGATATGTGCTGTGAAGAAAACCAAACACTGAAATTATAGTATAATGAGTAGTCACTGAAAGGTGACCTTTCAAACTGAAACGTGAATGATCAGGATGGAGCAGCCATGTGACAGTCCTAGAGATAGGAGCATTTTCACCAGAGGGTACAACAAGCATAAGGGCCTCAGGGGGACGTGAAATTGGTGATTTGAAGGAAACAAAAGAAGGCCAGTGTGGCTGGAGAGTCTTAAAAGAACAGGGCAGTCAGGTCTAGGTAAGTCGGAGGAAAGGATTAGAGCAAAGGTTCTGTGGGTGCTGTGTAGACCATGGATGGTAGTGGCCCCAAAGTGGAGGCAACAAGAGGAGTGGGTGAGAGATGTGGTTTGGTGTGAGGTAGAAGTAGTGACGATGGGGAGAAGTGTCCAGATGCGAGGTCCGTGTTGGAGGAGGTCGTGCTCACTGGAATTGTTGAAGGGTCGGATGTGGAAGGTGAGTGCATAGGAGATCAAAGATAATTCCTAGGCTTTTGCCTTGAGAGACTGGGTATTTGAGACACTGGGGTTTGGAGGTGCTATTTACTGAGATAACACCTAAGAGGGTAGGAACAGGTTTGGAGGGAAAAGGGGAATTTTTAGCATAGTAACTAAGAGATGCCTGTTAGACATCCCAGTGGAAATATGGAATAGGCAGTTGACTATAGGCATCTGGAATTCAAGGAGGAGGTTGGGGCTGGCGGTAGTTTTGGGAGTGGTCAGCATAGTTCCAATAGGATATACTTCCCAAGGGCAAGGATTGTTCTGGTGTTTTCTTTTTTCTTTTTGTACCTAAAGCATCTGGTCTTCCTAGGTGGTCTCTCATCCAAGTACTAACCAGGCCCGACCCTGCTTAGCTTCTGGACGGGACTGGGCGTGTTCAGGGTAGGATGGCTGTAGACTGTCTGTTTTCTTCATTGCTGTAACCCCAGCACTTAATAGTGCCTACTATATATATAGTATGTATACTTCTGTTCAATGAGTGAATATTTAAAGCTGTTGAAAGTAGGGACTAAAAGTAGATAGAAAGAGGGTGGGTCTTTGGACTTTCCAGTGTTTAAAGAAGTGAAGAAGACACAGCAACAGAGTTAGAAGGAGCCGCCTTGATCCCTAGGAGAAAGTCAGGTTTTGCTGTCACAACCCAAGGTTAATGTGTTTCAAGAAGGGGAGTCAGTTGCTGTTCAGAGACAAGTAAGATGAGTGAAAACAATTGGCCGTTGGACTTCTCAGCATTGGTGATCTAAATGAAAGCAGCTTCAGTGGAACGGAGGCATCACCATGGTTGGAGAGGATGAGAGGTGAGGAAATCGACCATGGATAGATGAGTCACACACAAAGCAAAAGGGAGCCGTGAAACAAGGTGCTGGAGGGAGATGGGAGAAAGGCGGGTTTATCCAATGGGAGATTCTAGAACATGCTGGTTTGCTGCAGGGTATGATCCTGCAGAGATTATGCAAATAGTAGCACAGGTGAAGGGGACAGGGGGGCAGCCCCGAGTGCAGGAGACGTGGCCACCTATCATTCGCAGGAGGGAAGGCAAAGGATGTGGTTATGAAGGTGTCTGCGGCTGGTTGACCTGGTGTTGGGAGGTTTAAAAAGTTCTTTTCTGATTGCTTCTGTTTTCTCAGTGAGGGGAGGTCATCAGCAAAGAGGAAGGAGAGTTGGAGACTTGATTTTTGAGAGCACAAAGCCAGTATCCCAGGTAGTTCCCATTTGAGAGGTCAAGGCTAGGATATAAATTTGACAGTCAACTACAAGGAGAATATAGACCATTGAGTTCAGCCTAACCTCAGTGTGTCCCAATGGTCTGGTGCTGTGTGCTGCTCATTTGTGACTTGGTGCTGGCATTTTGTTATGAATGCTCTTCTTTTGAAATGCATTAGCTATTTTTATGGTATGGGACTTTGTTGTTATGTAGTAAAAATTTAAAAACCTGTGATCTCTATTTTAGTACCTAAAGAAGCCTGCACTTGCAAACTGGTTGCCAGCATGGGAACTCTGGGTTTTGGACATAAAGTTTTTCTTATAAGGCACCAAAACACATTGATTGGCTCATGTAGAGTTTAAACTGTAATAACTCTGAGTTCAGAATCTACTTGACGTGAGCAGGTGGCTCACTTCCATGAGTCCAGAGCAGAAGTCACGCTCTGAAGATCTGAGCATCTCCGCTCCATTGCCGTGGTGCCTGCTGGGAAGCTGCAGGACAGCGTGGTCTTTGAGAGCGCTGGTGTAGGCCATGTGAGAACGCGAAGGCGAGGGTACCTCTCCCGGCTAGGGAAGAAGGAAAGGCCCGTGGAACTACCGAGCCTTTCATTCTGTATTCTTGCCCTTTAGCGGTGACAGATTGTCGACAAAAGGGGTTCTTGGTGCAGTTAGAAATTTGTGTTTTCCAGAATGACCTGACAGGAGAACACTCATGCATCATGCTGAAAACGCTGACTGATGAGAGCGAGGCTGACCAGGGAGCCTGGCTTGCGGCCTTTTGGAAAGGTGAATCTGAGTGGAAGGGGGACAGCGAGGCGACGAGCTGGGGGCCTCCAGACCTCTAACTCTGTGGTTGTACCCCACAGATTTCCGAAGGCGGTTCCTGGCTCTGCTGTCCTACCAGTTCAGCACATTCTCTCCTCCCCTGGCTCTGAACATCATTCAGAACAGGAACGTCGGAAAGCCAGCACAACCAGGTGAGCTGGACAGGGCGGCACGGAGGGCCAGTAGTGGTTTGGTCACGTGGAAGTAGGAGGCAGATGCGGTGGTCCAGAGCGGGGATGGGCTAGGAATCGAGGGACTGGTTTTAGGCCTTCATCTTCCACTGGCTGCCTCCCGCTCACTAGGCCCTGCTCTGCTTTAAAGGCGCTGTCACACATAGTGCCTTTCCTCTTCATAGCAAGACTTTGGGGATGTAATTTGACTTTAGGTGTCAATTAAGGTCATACACCTAATAAATTATGGAACCCGATTTAAATCCTGTGAACTAAGGTAACTAGCTCAATTCTGAGGCTCAGTTTCCTCATTTGTGAAATTATAGTAAGATTATGCCACCAACCTTCTGTGGCCAACACGCAGAAGTACTTTGGGCTTATAAATTGTTTGAATATTTAAAAATGTGTAAGGGATTATTAGTAATAACAACTGTGGCCTTTCTTTTTTCTTGTTGCTAAATATGTGCGTGTATGCTTTTTTTTGCCAATTACATTTTGATGGGAAAATCTCTGTTCTCCATGCCAGGCAGAGCGTGCACAGTTTCTGCTGGACTGTTTGCACACGCACACACACATGTGCACACACGCACACCCTCACACTCAGTGGGAGGAGAGGTGATAGAGTGGGGATGTGTTCCTTTAACCCTGGGGCTGGGAGCCTTTCCTTGGTCTGATGTGTTCCGTGGATCTCTGAGCAAGGGTCACGTGCCACTTGTCTGTCTCTGCAAGGTCCAGGCTGCTCGGTGGTGTGTTATTTTGGTGGGCAGGCACTTCCAGGTGGCTCCTCTCCTGCTCTGGCTGAAGGCCACGTGGAGGCTGTTAGAGTGCCACACGGGGACTGGATGTGTGCTGTCTGGGAATCCCATCAGCCCCTGGAGGGCATCGGGCTGCCCTGACCTGTCTGGCTCTGTCCCCTGTGCAGCCCTACACCAGGAAGAGCTGGAAGCACTCTTTCTCCCCTATGACCTGAAGAGGCTAGAGATGTATTCCCGGAACATGGTTGATTATCACCTCATCATGGACATGATCCCAGCCATCTCCCGGATGTATTTTCTGAACCAGCTGGGGGACCTGGCCCTGTCCGCTGCCCAGTCGGTAAGTTATCTGCTACTCGTGTGCCAGAAAAGAAGCTAGGTTTGTGGCGTGATTTACTTACTGAATTTGGGGTTGGATGCTTTGCCATAATTTTGTTCTGATGGGTGGGCAGATAATAGTCTCTCTGTTTTACAGGTAGGAACACTTGGGCTCTGAAGTCCAGCCACATTGTTAATAAGTGGGAGAGTTGCAGTTTGAACCCACATTCTTTCTACCCAGCCATGTTGCCTTGATTCTTACTCTGCCTTAGCAGAGGTCCAGGAGCACCCCAAACTTTTAATGTAGTGTGAAGCAGCTGTTTTTCAGGATAAGTTAGTTTGGAGATTTCAGGAAGAGGGAGCGTTCTTGGTAGTTTCAGTAACATGGTGCAAGAGAAGATTCCAGAATACACAGCGCCAGTCTATATTTTATACCAGATAGCTTTGTTCAAAAGAGAGCAGCTCTGGTTCTCAGCGCCATTTTATATGGGCAAGGGCCTGTCCCAGTGGCTACTCCAGCAGATCTTCCATTCTCCAGGCTCTTCTCTTGGGGATTGGCCTGCAGCATAAGTCTGTGGACCAGCTGGAAAAGGAGATCGAGCTGCCCTCAGGCCAGTTGATGGGACTTTTCAACCGGATCATCCGCAAAGTTGTGAAGGTAACCTCGGCTGAGGGCAGGGTTTTGGTCAGTTATAAATAATGTTAACTCACCCCTTGCCGCACAATGAGTAGATCTTAATATTTGGCCGTATCTGCTGCAAGTCTGTACACACACGCACGCACGCACACACGCATGCATGTACATACCTCTGAAAAAATGAGGGACTTCAGCTATATATGTAATGTCTTGTGTTTTCTCCCAGAGGTACCACTGCTGAAATTTGCTGTCTATGCAGTCTGTGTTTTTAACATGAGTTCGCATACTCTTAAACTATGCAGTTTGCACTAATTGAGTTGATAGCAAGTGACCGGGTCTCTGTTTCTGCTTCATCTTTTGCTTCCTGGCCGTTATCTTTTGTAGCTATTTAACGAAGTGCAGGAAAAGGCTATTGAGGAGCAGATGGTGGCAGTGAAGGATGTGGTCATGGAGCCCACAATGAAGACCCTGAGCGATGACCTGGTACGCTCCCGTGGAAGGCCTTGTGAGCGCCGACCGTCCCCCACCCCTTTAGGAAGAGGCCTCTGCCCTGACTGAGCTTGGTGGTGTCGGTGTTCTGTAGTGTGAGCGAGTGTCGCTCCCTTTGAGTCCCTGCCCCAGATGTACCCAAGCACACACTGCCTTAGACTTCGGCCTCCCACTGAGTGTGAGTGTGTGTGTGTGCACGTGTGTGTGTGTGTGCGTGTGTGCAAACAGTGTCCCAGCCGCTGCTGTTTATCCCTTTAGACTTTTCAAAATGTACGCTTTATATTCTTACACACTTCAGTAAGAGCTGCCTCTGATGGTGCAGGGGGTAAATCGAGGAGCAGGAGATGTCTGCTCATCGTGGTGAGACTCTGCCCCCTCACCTTGTTCTGTGATTTGTCCCCTGCTTGACTCTGACCGAAGGATGAAGCAGCAAAGGAGTTCCAGGAGAAACACAAGAAAGAAGTGGGGAAGCTGAAGAACATGGATCTCTCTCAGTAAGGCCCCCTCTGCTGCTCGTGGGGAGTGAAGGGAAGGCTCTGCCTTGTCTTCTCGGGCCACAGAATCTGTCTGCAGGTCTCTTCTACTCCATATCCTCGGTCCCGAGTACCCTGGAAGCTGTGTTTCCTGGGATCACTTTAGAAATAAGCGCTGCCACATTGACTTTCTAATCATGTTTCGAGGTCCCCAGGGTTCCTTGTCATGCCTCAGGTCCCTCAGGAAAGGGGGATGTTGTTCGATGAGCATCCAGTTTTAATGGCCACTTTTCTGTATTTGGCTTTTGCACGTGAATTTGTTTGAAGAAAGGATTCTGCTGCCAACAAATAATCCAAGACAGCTCCCTGCTTGGAGCCCTCTGTTACGAGGAGTCCTGGTCCCCTCTGAGCTTCAACTATAACACCGTTGCCCGCCCTGTGGATTGATGGGAATGACAACTCCAGAATTAGTGGCCTTCGTGCCTCTCTGACCTGTCGTTCCTGTAGCTGCTGGCTCATTACTGATGGTGGTTGTTGGACACGGGACGGAGGTAGCCAGGAGATCCCTGGTCAGGTAGCCAGGAGATCCCTGCCCTCAGCTTTGCAATCGGCTCATTACTGATGGTGGTTGTTGGACACGGGATGGAGGTAGCCAGGAGATCCCTGCCCTCAGCTTTGCAATATCAAACTTTGACTTGCCAGGACTGCTAGATCCCAAGAGGTGGGGCAAGGTGGGGTGGGGAGAGACACAGTTCCAGGGCTTGTAGGGACATGTTTGGCAGTAGCAGCGACCAAGAAGGTAGTGGGCAGTTAATGAGAGTTAGGTGTGAGAAGTCGGGCAGCTGCCTGCCATGCAGGACTGTCCTGTTGCCGAGCCCTGCTGGCAAGCCTGGTGACCCTCCTTGCTCCTGTGAAGTTCCCATCCTGTGGAGCAGGTTCCACATCCCACGGCCCTACTGCATGCCTGTTCTCTCTGCAGCTCAAACTCTGACACAGCTTGGTCTGGCGTTTATGGAGGACATGTCTGATAAGAATATTGTCACTATCTTATTTTCTTTTAAGCGGTCCCCTTTTCTTTCTAGCAGGCTTTGATATTTCCCTTTTATTTTTTAGATACGTAATTCGTGGAGATGATGAAGAGTGGAATGAGGTTTTAAACAAAGCTGGGCAGAATGCTTCGATCGTCAGCCTGAAAAGGTGAGGGCCTGACATCTGACAGGAGAGGCTCTCTGGTCTCTGCACTTCTTAGTAACTTTCGTTTGGAAATAAGAGGTTGGAACCAAAATTTTGAGAGAAAAGTCAGGATTCTTTCTTTTGAGCATCACTACGTTTGTAGCACATTTCCTACAAATCAGGCAGGGCCATATTTTAGGGCTGAGTCTCAGCATTGCTCGTATTTCCCAGACATGTAGGGGATGGGCTTGAGGGAACAGTCCCAGAGCTGCTGGTGACAGAGCACTTCCTGTGGGCTTTAATGCAGTGTCCATTCACCTTCAGAACAACACCAAGTGGCTCTTTTGTTACTATCACTGCTTTAAAGCTGCAGTAACCAAGGCTTGAAAGTGTCGAGTAACTTAGCAAGAAGCATACAGCTGGTACGGGCAGAACCAGAATCGGGACTGCGTTTGTCCACTGCAGTGCCCATAGTTATGCCTGCTGTACTCTCCTTCCCCTAAGCCAGTGGTTTCAAAGTTTTGGGTCTCAGAGTTCCTTTATATTATAAAAATTATTGCGGGACCCCAAGGAGCTTTCATTTATGTACGTTGTATCCATATTTTCCACAGTAGAAGCTAAATACTGAGAAATTTTTAAAAATTTGCTTATTCAGAATTAATGGATTCATTTTTTTTTTTAAATCCTTTTTCATAAAAATTTCAGTAAGAAAAGTGGCATGTTTTATATTTATATTTTCATAAATCTCTGATATCTGGCTTAAGAGAAAGGAGCTGAATTCTACATTCAATCTTTTGTGCTATCACACATCTTGTAGCCTCTGAAAAACTGAACAGTTGTGAGAAATGGAAGTGAAAAAGGTGAATAATGCATCATTACGGAAATAGTTTTGACCTTGGGGACCACCTGGAAGGGTCTTGGGCAACCTAGGAGTCCTTGGACCACTCAAAACCTTTGCTCCAGGCAGCTTCTCTGCAGAGAGCTGCGTTTGTAGATAACCTCGGTTCCTGGCCTGGAACCTTCATTGGAGTTTTTTGGGGGGCGAGAATGAGGCCTCCCTGCCCTGGGCCTCTGGAGATGAGGCTTCCACAGCTGATTTGGGGGTTGGTGAGAAGGATGAGGTCTTGGCATTGTCAGTTACCGACAGGGTCACCTGCAGGGTTTATTTTGAGAACACTTAGAAAGAGGAAATCTTCTGACTCTAGGAACTATTGGTCCCAGCATCAGTGCTGGTCTTGTTTCCCAGGTGCTCTGGGATGTGGCATGGAAGCCCACGGTCAGTGTGTCCTAATTTCTGGTTTGCACAGTATAGCAGACATGGCACAGGGCCCATGACATGATGGCTATGGCCTTTAGTGTGGTGGCTTTGCTTGGCACAAAAGGCCAGCGAACATGCTTGGTGTGGAGAAGGCCCCGTTCCACACTTATAGCTTGGCCTTTCCTGTGGTTCATTTGGCTGTCGCTGCTAGTGAGGGGCCTCCTGAATTAACCAGCCTGTGTGGTAGCTCGTGTGCTTGAAGGCTCTGAGCTCGTGTGAAATTTCTACCTTTGGAGGTAAAAACACTGATGTCTATCATCATGTATTCTTTGAGGCCTTGTTTGCTTCTTTTTTTCCCCCTGAGTGGTCACTTCATTCAGATGATATTAATGGATATTAATGTTCCCTGGACAGAACTGTTCATTCTCTCCTCATAGGGAGGTGTTTGTTCCCAGGGCAAAATGCCACCGTAGGGAATCTTTAACATATAAGACAGAAAGAAGGTGGCCATAAACTGAGTGATTCCCATGCTAATCTATCAATGAGGAAACCACTGGCCCACTGAAATGTGGCATCTGAGTCGCGATTCCTTTGGGCTTTCTTCTCGTTTAGGAAAAATAAAATAATAATAATACATCAGAAGTACTGTTGGATTTGCCTGGGAGTCTCATGCTTTGTCTTAAGGACTGTCCTCAAGGCCACTGGGATAACATGTCTGGTTTCCAGGGTGATCCTGAGTGGTTAGCGACAGGAGAGAATCTTCCCTGTGATGCCTTAGATTTTTCCTGAGGTCTTGGGAGAGAGGAGTGTACAGGAGACTGAAGAAAATTAAGACCTCGGATGTTAAGATGTGGATTTGTTCCTCCACAGGCTGAGCTCAGTCCCGACAGGAACTGAGTCGCTGTGGTGTATCCCCAGCCCCCAGCACAATGCCTGGCATTCTAATAGGCTTTCAGATATTCTTATATTATTTCAGATTGTGGAAACCCTTTCTCAGACAAAACAAAGCAGTCTGAAAAATGTTAAATCTGTGCATATTTTATTTTTTCTACTGCTTTTCTTTTTTTCAGTGACAAGAAAAGGAAATCAGAAGCCAAACAAGAACCCAAACAGAACAAAAAGTTGAAGAAAAACAGAGATATGAAGAACAAAAAAGACATGAAAATGAAGCGGAAGAAATAGTGAGGAGAAACTTGGGCATCAGCGGCTGACTCGTAAGGAGGTAGCCTGACTTTCTGAGCTGCTTCTGGCTGGACTGGGCAGCGGCCTGCACTGTTGAAAGCAACAGGAGCCCCCATCAGACCCGGAACCTGGCCAGGAATTCAGTCTGGACTGAGGCTGGCTTAAAGCAAAGTCACTTCTGAATGCGTCTGCTTGGAACTCGATGGAGGGGCAAACTTGTGGCACTGCCAGGGGTCCGTCTCTCCTCCCCCCGGCCTCGGGCCTTCCTTTCCCCTAAGTTCATAGTTTTCTTTGGCTCCGGCCTTTTTGGTTCCTTCATACATGTGCAGAAGCCACACTGACGCTTGTCTCTTCTCAGGTGTTAAGTACACAGCTTTCTGGTGATGCTCAGGCGGCCGCTGCTAGAGCCCTGGGGCCTCTTGTCACAGACTTGTCCAAACTCTCTGAGGCCTGGAGCAGCAGGAGCCCTGGTCCCACCAGGTGGCCATGCAGGCCACTGTTACGTGCACTGGGATTGGACTGCCGCGTACCATTCCACTCCTGGCTCCAGGAGGCCTGCTGTCCCAGTGTCCCAGAAAAACCTGAGCTCTTAATTTAGGAAAGATATGACATTGGAGTCCCCAAAACTTATTTCATACATTTGGGAAAAAATGTTGGGAAAGACCTTTTCTAGCAGGGGTGAGGAAGGGATAGAGGATCCATTCGATCTTATTTTTAATAAATAACATCCTAGAAAGACGAACTGCCTGTGGGTACTCATTGATTCCACATAGGTGAAAGCTGCATCTTGCCCTGTTTCTTCTGATGGATATTGGCTGCCAGGAAGGCTTTGGAGGGTGTTGGAATCGAGACTGGGGTTGGCAGTATGGCCAAGGTTTACAAACCCAGGTTCCTGTGAAAGTGGCCGGCACTGGCCGCTGCTCGCTGTGGTCATTCTGAGGGACTTGGTGTGGCGCCTGGAAGCCAGCTAGCTGCGCCTCTTTTCCTCCCTAGCTCCTGCTGGGTGGTCTGGTCCCTTCCATCTGTTGGGAACAGAAATTTTGTGGTGGCTTCACCCTTACTTTGTTTGTTTGATGGTATCTACTTTCTGGTCCCAAATCTGATTCCATGTTGTGAAAACCTTGACCTCGAAGGTCTGCTGGTTTCTGTAGGATTGTTCCTTATCCGTGTCACCAAGCTGAGGGTGGAAGTCGGCTCGGTCACGCTGTTGTCCCTGCCGCAGCCTGCGGGTCGTCGGCAACACTTCGCGCTCCCTGGCTGCATCGGCCTTCAGCTTATACGCTCATTCTTATTTTCATCTGAGAAATTCATGTAGTGGCCTTGGTTTCTGATCTTCCTTTTATTATTTATTTGTTTATTTACTTATTTATTTGAGGGGTAGACTTTAGAAGGACTGGTCTTAGTCCAAGTAGGTCCTTTTCTTAGCCCTGATGTATAACTGGGTCTATATGTAGCAATCTAATGCACTGACAAGGAAGGAAAGGGGGAGCTTCTGGACTCAAGAGGATTAAACATGCACCCCCGGGACTCACACCCACGGAGAGAGGAGCAGACTCTGTCCCCTGCGTCTGTCTGCATAGGCATAGGGGCCTTCTGTCTCCTGGCTCTGTAACTTCCTGTCTGAAGATCCCCTGTGAGGTCTGCAGGAAAGTTTGCTGAGAGGGGAGATGAAAACAATTTCTGATCCATTGTTCCTGAGCCTGCCTTTCAAAGAGGATCTTAGAGTGGCCAAACAAGTCAGAATCACAAATGGGCAGAGCTGGGTGGTACCTTGAAACTTCAGCCACATTGTCTTCCAGGTGTGGGGGCCCAGCTGGCCAAGCCCTTGATTGCTTCTCCAGCCCCAAGGTCTGCCCTCTGCTCTGCTCCAGGGTACAGGGAGAGGTGGTCTGAAACCAGACCGCCTGGCCTAGACATTGGCTCTGCCCGGACCCTCACTGTGACCTTGGGTACACCACTCACCTCTCCTTAACGTCCAGGGCCACATCAGTAAAATGTGAGTGGTAATGACAGCACCTGCCTCAGGGCTGTGGTGAGGGCCGAGGGGAGTGAAACGGGAATCGCCGAGAATAGTCAGTGCCTGGCAGACGGCAAACGCTCACAAAGTCTCCGAACTCTGTGGTGCGTCAGAGCGTGACCAGGGGAGCTGCAGTTACCTGCCAGTGCTGACTTGCTGAATAAGGACCAGCTTTGTTCCAAAAACCACAGCCTAAGCTGGAAGAATCCCACTTGAGCACGCACTCAAAAAGGAGCATGCGCTCAAGAAGGAAGCAAAGTGAACATTTTGCCTACTTTGTACAGCCCTGGCCCTTTTATTTGCAAAGTGTATGTTCTTAAACAGGTCTCTGAACTTTGTGGTTGTGATCTTGGGTTCTCCTCCAAACCTGAAAGAGCTCGCCTCCCTCAGACCTCACCATCTGGCCCCCAGACAGAGTGACATCTGTAAAGCTCGGCTGTCTCAGGAAATCTCACTTGCGAAATGAATTCAGTGAGGCTGCTATGAATGCTGTCACCAGGACAGGGAAGGGGCTGAAGGAGCCTGAACAAAGAAGATTCCTAAATGGTCCCCATTCCCCAAGCTGGGAGGGGGCTAATGCTGGCCTCGTCAGTGCTTCCATTGCTCATCTGGCCTCGCAGTCCCAGAGGACTCCCGAGTGACCAGGAGATGACACAAAGGGGGCTGTCGAAGCTGGGGGAGGGGAGGAAATAAGTGACCGTCACCTTGGAAAAATGTACTCATTATCTGAGGCCATTACACCAGCCGCCAGCCTGCAGGCTTGGAGGAGGGGGTGGGGCTGGTGTCCTTTCAGGCCTGAATAGGCGTTCAGACTTCCGACTGGGCGAAGGGGGCGCCCTGGATTCTAAAAACAATTGGTTAAAGTTGAAATATGTGCATCCTGTAAAGGGGTGGGGGAGGCAAAAACGGGGAGGCTTGAGGCTTTCTCTTGGCGCTTTAAGTTGTTTGTGGAGAAAGTGCTGATGCTCCTGGCATCGGCTGGTATCAGGTAACCAGCAGAGAAAGGAAAAGGGAGGTATCAGGAGGAGGAATGCAAGGGGCCAGGCCCCTATGCAGAGGAAGGCAGTCTCAGCGTTAGCCTCTGGTGCTCAGTTCGCACTGGGGCACCCTCCCATCTGGATGGGGTTTCCTTTGGAGACGAGGCCCACGCTCCAGCGGCATAAGCTCCAGCTTACTAATAGCGGGACAGCTGGAGTAGAATGGAATCCCTCCAGCAGAGAACTGATGCTTTCAGCCCCTTGTTTCCCAGAGACTCTTGCTGAGAAGTTCACTTTCTTCCTCCCAAGCCTGCTTTTGGCTGCTAATAGCCCGAAGCTGGCAGCTGGAGAACTGGACCCCCATGCTCCGGAGCAGTGGCCCTGAAGAGGAGGCCTGGCCACCAGGAGAAGGTAAGGTGACCACTTCCTTTTCCATTATAGTAGTTCTCCTGGCCCCTTGGAAGAATGCCTTATTTTTTTTCTTAATTATTTAAGTGCTTGCTTAACAGTGTATGCCTGCTATACGTGTAGCAGGCCCAAAGGGGTCCCATCCCTACCTTTTATCTACTTTCCTTAACTTTCTGTGCACCTCCGCCTCCCCTCCCAGAAGAGGAAATGGCTGAGCCCCATCTGGAGCCAGCTTGTACTAGATCTTGCCTTTTAGGTCAGGTAATTCATTGAGGCACGACTGAAGGGCGGGGGGAACTTGTGGGGAGGGTGGACACAGACCCCCGAAGGGCTGCCCCTGTAGATGGCAAAGGCTGGGGAGGTATAACCCCCTCAACCTCTCAGGAGGGCCTTGGCCAGGAGTGGGGAGCTGAAGGGCGCACCTCCTCCCTGTGGCCCCCAGAGGGCACTGTGGGTCCATCAGGGCCCTTTCCCCACCTCTGCCAGAGTCCTAGGCTGGGCTTCCAGCTGCCCCACCTGGGCCCCACCTGGCAAAGCTGGGCAATGGGCCTTTCCCTGTACCAACCCCATGGGATCTTCATATTGCCTCCCAACTTTCGAGTCCTGACCTGTCAGTCACTGAACTACAGCCACCCCAGTCAGTATTCCCAGTAACATTAGCAATTTCTCCTCCTGCCCCAGGCAGGAACCCCTGGACTCTGCACCTAAAACAAACTATAATTGGGTCTGAAAAACCCTTGGGCCTGAGTCACCGTCTTACTGTCCTCCCTCCATTACCAGGTGGCACAGCCAACTTGGGCTTAGCAGGTCCTGGAGGCAGCAGCTATGGAGGGACCGGTGCCCCATCATCAGGCCAGAGCTGGGAGAAGGCCCTGCCTCCACCTCATTGCACAGGTCTGGACTATGCAAGGGTTTGTAAACAACTCTTAAGATGACCCCAACAACGGCTCCCACATCAGGGCTTTGGGGAGGGGTAGGGGGGTTCGTGGGTTCAGGGAAGGCCAGAAAAACTCCCGACGGCTGTCTTATTCCTGTCATCAGGCTCCAGCCCCTCCACGCAGATACCTTCTGTTCAGCGCAGTAGCACACAGGTGCTTAACGAATGGGAAATACTTTATATTATCAGCTACCTCATTTAGCAGAAGAAGAAAACTAAGGCCCAGCAAGGGAAGTAGTTGCTCCCTGGCACTCAGCTGGCGTGGGTCGGATCCAGGCTCAGGTCCTGGGTTAGGTGAGTGGGGAATGGCCACTTTTGGTAGGGGGTCCTTTCTCTCTGTGACAGGAGCCCTGTGAAACTGGGGAATCAGCTCTGGGTTTTCTTCCTGGTCCTAAATGGGCTCTCCCAGCTCTGAACTCTGAGCAACCCTCTAACAGGAATAGCAAGGCCAAGGTAATCGTTAATGAGTGTTTATTGTTAATAAAACCATAGTACATTTACAATAAGTGACAACATCAATATATAGTTACAATATCATACAATATTACAGCAATAAAATAACGCCTATTCCTTTGTACATCCAGCTCAAGCAGCTAGTTGAAAATATTTTCCAGAATTGCAAGTCCCCGGGGGCTTTTCAGGGTGACTAAAGTGACACTGCCTGAAGTGCCCAGAGCTTTTGGTGAATAAATAGTTTCTAAGGTGAGGCCAGACAGCTGAAGAAGGCTACACCCAGAGCAAGCTGTCCAGAACGCTCCCCCAGTGTCTGGTCCATAAATACAAGTGTCCAGGCCTGATGCTGCATCTCCACCCCACGAGAGCCCACAGATGTCAAGGCAGGGAAAAGAGGGGAAGCAGAAGTTCCCTTCCTCCCAGCCCTTCCCTTCTCCCAACGCCCCGTCCCTCAGCTCTCTCAGACCCACAGTTCCCAGTGAGAAGTGTGGGTCCCGCTCCCCGGTCAGAATTAAAGGACTCTTCCACTTGAGAGATTTGACCAGAGGAGACATTTAGGGTTCTGCTTAGTGAACCCACAGAGGCAGCCTACATCTATGCCTGTGGTTTCAGAATCAACCCCTTTACATTAGCCCCTAAAACCAGCAGCAACAACAAAAGCTGAGGCCACCAGGCACCTGTTGCTCAGACTGAATGCTCTGAAGGTGTCAGCTGGAGAACATCCTTCTACCACTAACTGAGCAAGCTGGCGGTCCCCAAGGGAGGCCCTCTAGGTTCAGACACCAAAGTGACCCTCTGTGCAGGGATCCCTAGGCCCACATCAAACCTTTCAAAGGCATGGCCTTGAGGAATAAGTTTAGGGATTTGGGCAGCCTTTCCAACATGACATTGAAGAAAAAGACTAGCTTTTGAATGAAATGGCCAGGGGCCCAGAGTCTACATTCTATACATTCATAAGGATGCCCATGAGTCCCAGTTGGGAGTCTGAGCTTACTGAGGGCCAGGGAGTGGGGATGGTAGAGCAGAGGTGAATCGGGGTGAGCTGCTGACCTCCAGGACAGAACGGGCATACAGGGGTGAGTACACAGCAGCCCTCAAGGTGCAAACGGGTTGAGGGTAGGGCTGTCCAGTGACAGGTGGGCTCAAGGCACAGCTGCCTGCCCAAGGACAGAGTGACACCCGAGGATGATTGTGGAAGGAAGGGGAAACAGCCCTGTCAGCCTGGCTCCAGGAGGACCTACAACCAGCCCTCGCCCAGTGGGGCCCTGGTGCGGCCATAGGCCCTAGCTACACGCTGGTCCAGATGTCCTCAGAAGCACCTGCTTGCAGCCTTTCCCACCCCTGTGATGTCTAGAGCTCTGGCCCAGAGAGGGCTGGGCGTGCCCTCCAGCTGTGCCCCCAGCTGCCTCACACCCGGGAGGTGATGTAAACAGAGTGCACGCGCTCGGCCAGGGTGCTCTGCAGGTGTTGCAGTGGGTCCAGGCCCTGTACTTTGCTGCTGCGGCCATAGATGAGCTGGCGGAAGGAGTCCTGCTCGAGCAGGGCCTTCATGTGCTTGAGGAAGAAGCCCTCGCAGAACAGGGCCAGTTCTGGGGCATTATGGATCTGTGGAGGCAGGGAGAAGAGGTGAGACCCACAGCCCCAGATAGTACTTATGGGGCAAGGCCCTGCTTAAGCCTCGGCCTGGGGAAGGCAAGGGGGACAGCGTGTTGAATGGCAGTCATCCCCATAGTTTTGGAAGCTCTCTTACTAAGGGCAGGGGCAGGGACGGTCCACCACTGGGTGTCCAGCATCTAGCACACAAGCATTCACGTGGTCGATGCTCAGTAACTATTTGAATTCAACAGGTACCGAGCACCCGCTCTCGGCCAGGTGCTGGGCACCAGGTTCTGAGGTCAAGGTCTCGGCACTGCTCTTACAGCTGATGCTCTAGTTCAGGGGAGATGGAGAAGCCAAGGAATCAAACAAGCAAGGCAACCACAGGCTGTAAGGAAATAGGAGCAGGTGACCTGTGGGAGGCCCCGGAGGCCTGGGGAAGCCAGCTATTGTGAGGAGCTTTCCCAGAGGAGGGGCCGGGTCCCAAAGAGTCCTGGAGTAGGAACAGGCTGAGAAAGAGACAGGCTGTGTGGCCGGGTGAACGGGGAGGGGGTGTCGGCAAGGGAGATGCGGACAGGGTCCGAGGGGCCTTGTAAAGCATGATAAGGGGTTGGATTTCATTTAGTCTGCAAGCAGTAGAGAACGTGAGGGTTTAAGAAGAGGAGTGACATGGTTTTAACACTTTTCAAAGAGGCCTGAGGATTACAGAGTGAAAGCCAAGAAGTGGTCTGAGCTGAGGTCGGAGCAGTGAGGGGCAGAAGTGGGGAGAGACCGCTGCTGTGTTTCAGGTAGAGGGCCTCGATGTGGGGGATTTTTTTAAAAAAAATCAAATCTAACCCCTAAGTTTTGAGTCTGAGCAGCTGAGCAGATGACCATGCCATTTACTAATGGGGAAGATTAAAGAGGGCAGGTTTAAGAGAAAATCAGGTAAGAACCTATAGAATGGGTTTGACTCAGCCCTGGGGCCCACAGCCTGGTGGCACAGCTGGAATGTGAACTGGGATCTAGGTAAGGCTCATCTCCCAAGCTGTACCCCAGGCTCCAGGAGGAATTACTAACCCTCCTTCCTTCCCTA